TAAAATAATTGTTTTAAGGATTCCCGATCCCCTTCTCCCGATTCCGATCTTTTAAAAATCACGTGATCGGCTCCGATCCCCGATCGGATCGGGACATCTCTAACACAGGGTCATAGATACGTTGAGCGATACACTGACCATGGTGCTGCTTGCATGCGTCCTTTTACGACTGATCCTGAATGTAGGTGGGACATTGTCGCTAAGGGTCGCCCTGCCTTCCTCACTATAGTGAGCAAACTTCTTTCCATACCTGCAATTAAGACACATTTTCTTGACCAGAAGGTTGCATTTTAGATCCAGGTGTTCACCCCCAAATCTTCTTGATAATACAATTACAAATTCAAATGTTTTTGTAGCACTGCAGCATACCCTTCCAGTCCAAAGTTTTCCATCAGGATAACACACCACCACCTTCTCAGGAGAGACATGTCATGCTAAAGAAAGAGCATCAATTTTCATTAAGTTTGTTATAGCATTTTAATGTGACTTCTTTCCTTAATACTTACAATGCTGAAGTCAAAGCTGGCCTCCATGGCAAAATACCAGGCATACTGTAATGAGAATGTTATTAGTACATGCAAGACATAATGTACACGTGACGGCTTATAACTCAGTGAGAAAGTAGTCACACACCTCCAATAAAATGTGGAGGTGATAACGCCACAAGAAAGATGCACGAGAGGCCTACCTATACGTGAACATTCCTTAAATCCTTTTATTATTGCACACCTTTTTATTTGCAAGTGCATAAAGTGAGAGAACATTGGGATTCAAACAGAACGTTTGTCAGGTCTAAGTGGTGGTGAATCACTATTGTATGTATTTACAAATGAAAGGTGTTAAGGAGCAATCATAATCATTGCAGGATCCTGGACAGAGAAGACTGCTCTGGATTTTGAGGTGTTTGCAATGTCACTATCGTATTGTCACAATTGGCTATTATGCTCTTACTAACTTTTCTTCAAACGGGCTTCCGAAGCAGACCCATGGGAATGCTACGTGGCCATGCAAGGGGTGTCTGATGTCTGTCTCCTGTGTTCTCCGTTCATCTTGAGCGATACCTAGTCGTCTGATGTGTGGGGGAGAGATGCTGGCTAGCGCATAGAGGCACGGGACAGGTGTTGTCTTAACGCATCCCGTGATGATGCGGCAGGTGTCATGCAAGGCTGTGTCGACCAGTTTGGTGTGACGTGATCGGCTCCAGTTTGAAAAACTCAAGTTAGATACTGTTATTAATCAGCTGTAAGTTTTAGTTTGTTTGAACTTATTCATTATAATTATTGTACAAAATGGTATAAGAATGCAAACTTAAATTGATTATAGTCTATTATCAATTCAGGTTAAGAAACTAGTGTTGCTTGCATCCTATTTTAAAAGGCATTTATTTTTATAATCTACTAAAATGCAACAAAAAAAGGGTTTGATTATATTAATGTTGTCTTTTTATTGCACTTTGGCAGCAGATTCCTGAGTAGCTTCAGATCTGAGTTGTCTTATTAGTGAGCCTAATTTATACTTTTGTAGCAACACTGTTTTTATATAATGGCAAAGAAAGGGTTCAGTGTCTTTTCTTTTTTCCTGTGTCATATGTGGCAGCACTTCAATGTTTCTTGAAAACATTACCCACTGTAGTATGTGATGTGTGAATAAACTCTGTATCAACAACACTGTTGTGTGACTTCAGTTAAATACTTGTATGTGTGTAGATTAGAAAGAGGTAATATAAAGGATCTGCAGTATTTTATGAAGTATTAATCGTACAAAGGTCAGTTTTATTCAAGTAGAAGTGTGTATTTACCTGGTAGGCTGTCACTAATGGCTACGCCTCTCGATTTGGACTGGTAGATCTCGGAAGACTGGCAACTTTAAAAGTAGCTCTCGGTTCAAAAAAGGTTGGGCACCCCTGTAACTAGGGCATTGCGTTCCAAGAATGCAGGGTTGTTGGTTGTTCCTAGAGTCTCTAAAAGTACAATGGGAGCCAGAGCCTTTTCTTATCAAGCTCCACATTTGTGGAATCAGCTTCCAGTTTGTGTTCGGGCGGCAGACACCCTATCCGTTTTTAAGAGTGCGCTTAAGACCTTCCTTTTTGATAAAGCTTATAGTTAGGGCTGATTAGATTCAGCCCCTAGTTTTGCTGATATAGGCTTAGTTTGTCGGGGGACATCTTACTTCTTCCTTCTCTCTGTCTATACCTGTGTACTCTCATGTTCCGATTAACCCAGCTTCCCCAAATGTCTTTCTTTTTGGTGTCTATATACGCCGGGATCCGGAGTCATGGATGATCCTGCGGTCCTGTGTCCTGGATCGCGAGCCCTGGATCGCGAGTCGTGGCTGTGGTCCTGGATCATAGGTCCTGGATGGATATCCTCGTGGATTCATCTTCCTATTATACACACATGCATTTCCAAACATTTGGACTACCTATGTTGCAAATGTATTATCTTTTCAATGTACACACGGCATCTATTGCATGTCTGTCCGTCCTGGGAGAGGGATCCCTCCTCTGTTGCTCTCCCTGAGGTTTCTCCCATGTTCCCTTTAAACTGTGGGTTTTCTCCGGAAGTTTTTCCTTGTACGATGTGAGGGTCTAAGGACAGAGGGTGTCGTATTGCCATACTGATATTCTGTACACACTGTGAAGACCACTGAGACAAATGTAACATTTGTGACATTGGGCTATATAAATAAACATTGACTGATCATTTATTATTATTATTATGATTATTATTATTAAAAGGGGAGTGATTTGTAAAATATCAATTTTTAAAAATAGCACTTTACCCCTGCTTACACCTATGCCGTAAGCTGATTATCGAGCCTTCATTGTAACAAGTATACTGTGTATGTGTGTGTGGGGAGGGGTGTTCACTGCAAACATCGCTGCTACAACCCGCTGCTGCAGATACACGCTTTACAACATCAGGAGGATACGTCCCCAGCTGACCCAGAAAGCCACGCAGGTTCTGGCCCAGGCTCTCGTCATCTCATGCCTAGACTACTGCAACTCCTTAAACCTTCCTAAATGTTCCCACACCACTCCGCTCCCTTCACTGGCTTCTGGTAACTGCTAGAATCCACTTTAAGATACTGGTACTTGCGTACCATGCTGTGAATGGATCTGGCCCTTCGTACATCCAGGACATGGTTAAACCGTACACCCCAGCACGTGCACTCCACTCTGCATCAGCCAAACGACTCGCTGCGCCCTCGCTGCGAGGGGGACCCAAGTTCCCATCAGCAAAAACACGTGGGTTTGCTATCCTGGCTCCAAGATGGTGGAATGAGCTCCCCATTGACATCAGGACAGCAGATAGCTTACACTTCTTCCGGCGCAGACTGAAAACTCATCTCTTTCGACTCCACTTCGAGCGATAGAACTATTAACAAAGCACTTATATACTAATAAAGGACTGGCTTATCTAAAGCCAGTTGAGTAGCACTTGAAATGTTTGGCTCTATGAAGCCTGATGTACTTATATGATTCTGTTTTCTTCAAGGTTGTATTTTGTTGGTCGAACGCACTTATTGTAAGTCGCTTTGGATAAAAGCGTCAGCTAAATGCAATGTAATGGGGAGTGTAGCAGTAGAACATTTAACTGTAGCGCCCGGTAGATTAAGGGAAACCCCTAAATGCTTGAGCACCCTCTGTGAAACGTCAAGGCAACAAACGTCCGACTGGACTGGCCAAAGGCAGTCGGAAAAAAAGGCGTCGGCAATTGTGCTAAATTCAACCTCACATTTTCAGATAAAAATACAAAGTATGGTTTGTTGAAAAATTTGCAAATAAACGACATTAAAAACATCTACAAAAAGATGACATAAATATAAATATTCCCCAAAACTACTTAGTATAGTGTGTCGACATCTTCAGAAAGAACATCATTGTATAGTATGTTGAAAAATATGGGAGAAAAACGACATAGTATAGTTAGTATGTCGACAATATTACAAAAGTACCAACCAAAGTGTAAAAAATAATTATGTTATGCATACAGTAATATGTTATATTCTGGTGCAGGGGATACAACAAAGCAGTCAAACAAACAAATATAATTTTTAAAGCAAAGTTTATTGCATATAAAGTAAGATACAAGCTAACAAAGGAACAGAAGTAGTGGCTGATAATGCAGCAGAAACGTACTGGATGAGAGAGAGAATGCTGATGAAGCTTCACAGTTTTTAAAGTTCAGCCACCAAGCGGTACAACATACAGTATCAAGGGAAGGTTTGTCGAACTTTTTTAAAAAACGACATAGTATGTCCTGTAGGGGTTTATATAGCAAGAGGCAAATTACCCAGGATGGACTCCATTTCCCACACTGCTGAGCAGTAACGTGAAACGGTAGATAGAAAGACACAAATTTAGACCACATGGAACACAATGCAACATAATATGAACAACCCTCTTCACAAGCGATGTATATTGCATTGTATGAGAAAACAGTTTTGCTTCTATGCTTAAAAATATCACCTCTCTATTAAGAGAACTGAAGCATTACAGGCATCATGACACGGCGCTGTTCTGACACAGCGGCATGTTTTGTCCAATAGGGAGCATCAACCAGTTGTCACATACCTTAAATCCCATGCCCTGCCTAACCCTAATTAGACACAGAAAGGGTTAAACAAAAGGTGGGAGGATGCAAGTGGATGGAGTCAGTAGTGTATTGTGATAGAGAGAGGGAAACACAGGAAAAGACAAGCACACAAGAGCTGAATGAGGAATACAATGCGTATGAAGCTAGAGCCAGGAGGTAATATTAACAGATTGTTCTAAATCTCTCTTCATCTCTTTTTTATTCTCCAATCATCATCTTTCTTTGGAATATCATATATCCACTGCTCTGCTGCTATAGCCAGGGTGATCTAATCTCTTGTGTGCACCAGGACTGAATTGTGAATATTTAAGAGTGAGTAAGGACTTAGCTGGGAACTTCCTGCCAAAGAGAGGGAGAGAGAAGAGAGCTAGTGTGTACCTGAGAGAGAACCGAGGAGGTAAGATGAGTCAAAACAACGGGGACACACTGACAGCCCGTGGACCTGACTTGACCAGTGGACCTGACTTGACCAGTGGACCTGACTTGACCAGTGGACCTGACTTGACCAGCATCAGCAAGTTGAAGCCCACCACCTGTCAACCTAAACCTGTGAGTATCCTTCAGCCTTCATCCATTTACAGCTGCAGTATCAGAGTTGTTGACAGCAAAGGCGAATGTAAACGTTGGAGTTTAATTATGTTTCTCTTACTTGATAGTGAAAGCCTGCCAAGACACATTTATGTTCAGGACTTGAGGCTGCTTATTTCCCGGTGGTCATGATCTGACCTGTCATCTGAATTTAGTGCAGCATTGAAAGCCTCAGTAAGAAAAAAAGTTATGTTGAGATATCGTTAGGTGAAGCAGGAGATAGAAACTCAGAAAGGCTTTATTGTTAGAAACTGAGCAAAGCACAGAGGGCTCTTGTTAGTGCGAATGCTGTGCAACAGAATTTGCCTTTTTTTGCATGAAATACAAATTCTAGTTTGATATCAGGTGCAAGGTTGTCTGTGAAGGATATTGTTTGGATTTCTTACCTGGAAAGGATGCAGTAAAACACAAAAAAAGACAAAAACAACTGCTACTTCAGTCCCTTACAGGATGTAGGGAGTTGTCTCAGTTGTAAGTTAAAAAAATGTGAAACTAAATATTTGTTAAATACTCTTTAAGCAGTGGAAGTACGTTTTCAACCCCAGGTTTCAGGTTAAAATATCTTCATGGTATTATCTGGTCTTTAAAAAACTACTGACTTTACAGTAATATCATTTACAAAAGTATAACAAAACCACAGAACCTCAAAATGTGTTGTGGTTATAATATGATGACCAAAAGTGTGATCACCATTATAAACAGTGTGCTATATTCTGTGTTGTTGTCCCAGTGTCATAATGCTTAACAGGCCGACTCTGTATGTGGGCCTGCACTATCAGAGTCTTGCAAAGGAAAGTATTTCTTATCACATCGTCACCTCTATTGTCACAAAAACTCACTCAGTTTACCCACTGTTGGCATTAAATAAAGCCTTTATGAAATAGTTTATATCTACTTGGAGCTGCAAATCAGAAAACACTTTTCCAATATTCTAGTGCCACTGCTCACAATATTAATAATGCACTGCGTTTGTTGTTGGATAACAACAAAAAGAAGGACAACTTGTTTATGAAACAACATTTGTGTGGCAACAATTGTATTAAGGCTTGTACAGAGATATCGTTGATATCGATAAAGCCACGCTAGCGGTTTCTCCGTATTACAGTCTTCATGCTAAGCTAGCTGATGTGTCTTGCTCATCTCAAATAAGGCAATTGTGATTGTTAACAAAAACTAAAGCTGGATGTTAATGCAACTTATTTTTACTCTAGCCGAAGCCGGAGAATGCCATCACCATCGGCATCTCGGCACAAGTTCTCTTCAACATGGAGAAGGAGCAGCAGGGCCTTGAAGACTACATCAAGTATCAGATGGAGCATGAAATGCAGCCTTTCAGCCCCGGCCCTGCCTTCTCCTTTGTCAAAGTCAGAGAACACACACACACACACACACACACACACACACACACACACACACACACACACACACACACACACACACACACACACACACACACACACACACACACACACGCACATGCACACACACACACACACGCATACACACACACACACACACACACACACACACACACACACACACACACACACACACACGCACATGCACACACACACACACACGCATACACACATACCATGTATACATCACTTCAGGGGACATTGCATTGACTTACATGCATTTCCTGGAGACTTATCCTAACCTTAACCATAACCAACACATGCCTAACCCTAATCCTAAACCTAACCAAATCTTCACCCTAAAATGTATGATTCCCCTCGTGGGGACCTCCATCTCCTTCATACAACTAATAATAAGGCGTAATAATCGGGCAGTTCGATGTGTGTGTAGAGGTGTGTTGTGTACCGTCAAAAGTGTTGAGTCAGTTACGTTTCATGTTGTTGTTTAGTCAATTATTGTATTGTCTCCCACTTCCTGTTTCATTTTGACACTCAACTGTTACGTTTCATTCCAGGTTCCTTGACACCCTACCCTTGTGTGTGTCTCCCGCGCTCATCAGCGCCAGCCCCGCCAACCCCGCCCTTGATTGTTTCCCCCTGTGCCCAGTTACCTCTTGCTTAAATCCCCCAGTCTCCCCTTGTTGTTTGTCACTTTGTCTTGTCCTGTCCTCATGCCAGTACTCTGCTCATCAGCGAATGCTTATCTAGTCACAAGCCTGATTTATGCTCCTGAAACTTTTTGTAAGTTTTGTTCCTCACGTTGTGAGCGATTTCTGTTGTGCCTTATTGGAGCCTTTTTTGTCACCTCGTTAAGAGTGTTATTTTCTTTTTGTATACATTTTTGTAAAATATATTGAATGTGAAAAAGGTAGATAAAGACACAAATTTAGACCACATGAAATACAATGCAACATAATATGATCAACCCTCTTCACAAGCGATGTATATTGCATTGTATGAGAAAACAGTTTTGCTTCTATGCTTAAAAATATCACACACACACACACACACACACACACACACACACACACACACACACACACACACACACACACACACACACACACACACACACACACACACACACACACACACACACACACACACACACACACACACACACACACACACACACACACACACACACACACACACAATATGTATACCCAATGCAGTTATATCTCTCACAGGCTCCGCCCTCTACTGGACTCTATGGGTACTACCTTACCCTGCGAGCATTCTCCCACTGAGACTTCTATAGACGTAGCCGGCCTTGGGCGGGCCTACCTGAATGCGCGCGCATCACACCGTATAAAAGGAGGCCTCACCTCCTGACTATCATCCTTTTCTCTTCAGCAGCGGAGGTGATTCCACGAAAGACTGAGAGACGTTTAAAAAGAGTTATCATACCTCCAGGGAGTCGCCACTGCTATATTCGAGTGTTTGGGGGACCAGGATATGGCCGAGGCGGTGCCATTCACGTTCGCCATTCCTTCCGGGTCTGGCGTCCATGGAAGTCCACCGCCCAGGGCTGTACTCTCCCTGGATGATGATCATGGCGGCGGGTGTGTGGGCTACTCACTCATTGCTAGAGATGCCCCCGCCTCACCAGGTCAGAGCGATTATTGGGCCGCAAGGCCGAATAAGTAGCTTGGTCCACGGGCCTTGCCCCAGGCCCGGTTCCCCCGGGGACCGGTGCTCGGTGGCTTCACATGATATAGGGTCGACCCTACTTCATCACAGGCCGCCGCCGCTGCCCGCCGTGTGATGTCCCTGGGATATCACGCCGCGTGGCACTTTCCAAAGAGGATCGTGTTGATCTCCTGGGAGCCCCCGTGTTTACGGAGGGCTCTTTGGCTCGATCTCCTTGCTCACGGGATGAGGAATAGTCGCAGCGTGGCTGCTTCTTGCCCATTCCCAGAGGAAGAAACACTGTCCTACACTCCCCGCCCCCGCTGTAAACCCCAGTATATGGAGCCAGCAGGTGGGCGTGTGCACGTGAGTGGAATAAACCGAGTGCTGTCAAAGCACTGTGCGGGTTCAAGAGACGCTATTGCCGGCGTGCTGTTGTCAGAAAACACACCTTGCCTGGTATAATAGCCCCGATTAATGCATTTCACCGTTGCAATGGGAAATACAGCATTAATACGTGGGCGCGCGGCCCTCGTGAGAGTGGCCGCGGTGCGTTCAGGGACCCCCGCAGGAGAACGGTGGTTTACGTTTGTAAACTCTAGTTCTGGAGTGAGGTATGTGTGTGGGAAAAATGCATTCAGTAAAGACTATTGCATTTATCCCAGAGTAAGAGTAATTTCTCACCACAATTCCACTTTTCCCCATAATGTCCGTTTCAAAGAGACGGCATTGTGACGGCGCGCGCGGCCCCCGTCCCCCGAGGGCGGGCCACGATGCGTTCAAAGACCTCAGTAGAGAGGTGAGACGAAGGGAGAGGTGCCGACACGGAGATCCCGTGGCTGCGGCGCCCTCCACCTCTTCGGCCCACCCCGTGGAACCGGCGTGCCGGCACTCACGGGGACGGGTTTTCCGTCTTTACGGATCTGGCTGGCGGGGGGAGAAAATCTCTCCGCCCGGGACAGGGGGGCGAATCCCGCCTCCTCCCTGTATAATGCACAGATCACTACGTTTTCTAATAGAAATGATTGATCTGTATCCAAGTCTAAGTGTCTTTTGTTTCCACAAGGGCCACACTTACACACAATGTTAACCGTACAAATTCCCCATTCGCTGCCCCATGCTGCAGCTCCTGTAAAGGAGGTGGCTAGTGGGCATGCGCAGATGAGAGGGATGAACCGCAGGGAGTGCTATCTAAGGGAGAGCACTATGCGGGTACAGGGACATTATGGCCGGCGTATTGCTGTCAGAGAACACACTACGCCTAGAGCAAAGACTCCAATGCAGTTTTCCGTGGTGGTAAAGGCTGCATTATGGCGGAGCCCGCACTCACACAAGAGCGCGTGGCGGTGCGTTCAGGGACCTTAGTAAAACACACTACGCCTATAAAGACTCCGATGAATGCTGTTTACCGTAGTGGTGAGAACAGCATTAGGGTGGAGCGCGCGCTCTTGTGTGAGCGCGTGGCGGTGCGTTCAGGGTCCTCAGTAAATAATCGGCCCTTTCTGTGTCAACCCTCCAGGGGCAAATCTTCCCTTCGCGGGGAGTTTTTGCGGCGGAACGGGTCACCAGAGAGTATCACAGCTTCATAGCTGCTGCCCCTCACCTGAGGGCTTGTCCATTAACACAATGTTCTAGGGAATGGAAACTCAGCTGTGTGCTAACAAGGTGGAGGGACAGGACGCTGAAACGGGGCCATTCACTCCAGTTTTGCAGCGTCCCACTGTACCACATGTCTATACACTGTACCAATGTATCACATGGACCACTGTCTTGTGGGTGTCCCACACCCACCTTCTTTATGGGCATGCAAGAGGTAAATCTTTCCTCCCAGGAGGAGATGTGTTTCCTCTCAGCAGAGATTCAGGCTCTGGTACAGAAACAGGCTGTGTCTGTTGTGCACCCTCAGCACAGAGAAAATGATGTACTTCCTGGTTCTCAGGAAGACAGGGGAATTTAGACCTATTCTAGATCTCAGCGGCCTGAATCGCCACATTTTCTGCAGGAAATTCCGCAAGTTAACTATGAAATAGTTACTGGGGCTTGTGCAGCCAGGCGATTGGTTCACCACCATCGACCTGAAAGATGCGTACTTTCATGTAGAAATTGCTCCAGAGCACAGAAAGTATCTGCGTTTTGCCTTCCAGGGAATAGCCTACGAGTACAACAGGCTGCCGTTCGGCTATTCCCTATTCCCACGCACATTCAGCAAATGTGTGGCCACAGCGCTTCAACCGCTGCGCGCACACGGCATGAGAGTTTTCTTTTACATAGACGACCTCATAGTCATGGCTGGGTCACGGGAACAGGCAATGTTTTGCACAGCACAATTGATCACACACCTGACCAAATTGGGCTTTGCGATCAATTGGAAAAAGAGCACCCCCATACCTCACCAACGGGCGCTGTATTTGGGTGTGGTGCTCGATGCAGGCGCGTCGCGCGCTACCCTGTCAGAGAGCAGACGTGCGTCCCTTCTTCAGGGGGTGCGCAGGCTGCGACAGGGGGCAACAGTGACAGCTTTTACTGTCATGCAGACATTGGGTCTCATGGCGGCTGCTCACATGGTGGTCCCGTTAGGGTTACTACATATGCGCCGCCTGCAGAGGTGGTTCTCCAGCCTGCGCTTGGATCCCAAGAGGCACAGGCGGCGGCTGGTGACCATCCCCCCCTCAGTGGAGGGCAACCTCCGGTTTTGGGGGTCTCCGGATCACCTCCGGAGGGAGTCTCCACTGGGACGGGTGACCTCCTACATCACAGTGTTCACGGATGCGTCCAGAACAGGATGGGGAGGGACCTGCCTGAAGAGCGCTATAGGTGGGCGCTGGGCTCTAACAGAGTCTCGACACAGCAACCTCCTAGAGCTACGGGCGGTAATGTTAGTCCTCCAGCATTTCAGGCCCCTAATTCAAGGGAGGCATGTAATGGTCAGGAGCGACAACAGCACCACAGTGGCTTACATCAACAGGCAGGGCGGAGTCCGCTCCGCCGCCTTGTTGACCACAGCGGAGAGGCTGTGGTTATGGGCTTCAGAGGTGGTGTTATCTCTGAGAGCCTTCCATATCCCGGGACTGGAGAACAGAGGGGCCGACCTCATGTCGAGGAGCGGCCCCCTGCCAGGCGAGTGGGTGCTTCACCCGAGGGTGGTGAAGCAAATCTGGGCCCAGTTCGGGAGAGCGGAAGTGGATCTGTTCGCCAGCCGGCGAAACAGCCACTGTGCCCTGTGGTTCTCCGTGGCTCAGAGCGACGACCCACCCTTGGGGGTGGACGCGTTTGCACACGAGCCATGGCCAAGGAAGCTGCTATACGCCTTTCCACCGCTGCGTCTCATTCTCCCCCTCCTGAGGAGAGTGAAGCGAGAACGTCTGTCAGTCATCCTAGTGGCTCCGGATCGCGTTGGGGCGCCGTGGTACTCAGAGATTACACAGATGAAGGTGGGCCAGCCCTGGGCGGTTCCCCAGTTCTGGGGGCGATGTCTCAAGAGGCAGGTGCAATCGGGGCATTACCCACTCTCGGCCGTCCTCTCCAGGTTTGGCTCCTGAGAGGGACAGGCTGAGACAGGGTGGATTGTCTGATAGTGTTATTCAGTCTATCCAGGCAGCTAGAGCTGGATCCACCACAGCCTGTTACAGGCCAAGGTGGCTAGGATTCCAGCGATGGTGTGAGGAGCGGAGAATAGAGCCCCTATCTTGTGAGTAGGCTCTATTTTATCCTTCTTACAGTTACTGGTGGACAGAGGGCTTGCACATTCAACAGTGAAAGTGTATGCAGCAGCCATCTCGTCCTGCCATGAGGGATTTGGCGGCAGGTCAGCCTTTAGTCAACCACTGATGTCGCGGTTTTTACAGGGGGTCAGGAGGCTGCGCCCAGTAGTGCACGCCTCCACCCCACAGTGGGACCTGCCCCTAGTGCTCGAGGCTCTGGCCTCTGGGCCGTTTGAGCCTCTGGAGCTCTCCTCTCTGAAAGCATTGTCGTGGAAACAGCTTTGCTTCTTGCCTTAACGTCAGCCAAAAGAGTGTCCGAGTTAACTGCTCTGTCGGTGCACCCGAGCTGTTTACAGATTCGGGGTGACCAGAGCGGCGCGACACTCAGACCGAACCCCTCCTTTGTGCCCAAGAGCCTAAGGAGTGCGTTCAGGTCAAGGGCTATTCAGTTAGGGGGTTTTAGTCTTCCCCCCCATGGTGGGACCAGGGAAGCTAAACTGCACCTCCTCTGCCCGGTGCGTGCGCTAGCATGTTATGTGCAGCGCACGGCTACCCTTAGACGCACCGAACAGCTATTCGTGTGCTTCGGGGGCGGGGTGATCGGGAAAGCTCTGTCCAAGAAACGCCTGGCAGGCTGGCTCTGCGAGTGCATTGCACATGCCTACGGACAGGCAGGGAGAGCCTGCCCCACGGGGGTTCGTGCACACTCCACACGGGCTGTGGCTGCGTCAACAGCCTTATTCAACGGTGTGAGTGTGGAGGATATATGCACAGCGGCGTCTTGGTCGACGCCAGGCCCCTTCATAAGGTTTATCTCTTGGACATGTCGGGCTCTTTCTCCTCGTCTGTGTTTGCGGGGGCAACACAGGACTGGTAGGGGGGAGGGGGGTTGTGGGTCAGTTGGCATCTGACCCCCTCCCCGGACGTAATGCGCCTTCGCTGTTCTTGGGCCTTCTGAGGGTCCCGGGAGGGGCGGGGGGGGGCGCACTGGGCCCTTACAGGGCTGGAGGACTACTCTCCTCCTGTCGAGAGGCAGGAGGGGGGTAGCCCTCCACACTTTAGTCCACACACTCTGCACGGGGTCAGTGTTTGAGTGTGGGACGTGGGCTCTGACGCTCTCCCTGTTATCCTTAGGGATTCAGGGAGGCAGGCGTGTAGTAAGCCCATTCGGGGCCGAGGGGGCTCTCCCCATCCGTCTATGGGCGGGGGGGGGTCCCCCGGCACTGTTTTTTGAGCACACTTTCTGCGAGGCAAGCGCAGCAGGGTGTGCTCTGTCAGCCACAGCCCAGATTTCTCCTCGGTTACAACCGGGTTAAAGGAGAATGTGGGGCAGCAGCTGCTGACCATAAAAGCCGGTCAGGGGCAGTAGGGTGGAATATTGTTGTTGGACGACAGTGCGCGTATACATCGCGGCTCCACCCACTGTACCCATAGAGTCCAGTAGAGGGCGGAGCCTGTGAGAGATATAACGTCGGGTTACGTATGGTAACCCTTGTTATATTAGCACAGGCGGAGCCCTCTACCCAGGGCACTGTCTGTCCTATTCCGCTCGCTGAAGAGAGGTGTAGGATGATAGTCAGGAGGTGAGGCCTCCTTTTATACGGTGTGATGCGCGCGCATTCAGGTAGGCCCGCCCAAGGCCGGCTACGTCTATAGAAGTCTCAGTGGGAGAATGCTCGCAGGGTAAGGTAGTACCCATAGAGTCCAGTAGAGGGCTCCGCCTGTGCTAATATAACAAGGGTTACCATACGTAACCCGACGATACTTTCCTTGTTGTCAGTGTTTGATGTTAGGTCGTGACTCTATGAGCTGTGATTGGTGATTTTAACATCCATGTTGACAACCCCCAGGACAGAGGGGCTAAAGAACTGTTTTGTGTTCTTGATAGCTATGGACTGACTGAGCATGTGATGGAGCCCACGCACAATAAGGGGCACACTCTGGACTTAATTATCTTAAAGGGTCTGAATATCTCTAAGGTTGTGGTGACTGATGTTGCACTCTGACCATTCCTGTGTTTTCTTTGAGAGCTTTATTTCTGTTCACAAAAATGTTCAAAAAGAGGTAACCACAAAGCGATATTTAACTAAACATTTTTTTGTTCCATGCCCCTGCTAACATCTCAGTAAATGAGCGAGTAGATCATTTTAATTCAAAGATTAAAAATGTTATAGATGCCATTGCTCCAACTAAGGTAAAGGAAGTGACTGGGAAGAAAATATCTCGATGGAGAAAGGCCATGACCGTGAAAACAGAAAAAAGAGTGTCGAAAAGCTGAACGCAGGTGGAGGTTCACTTTGAAATCTATAAAGAGGGACTTGGCCTTTATAATTTGGAATTGAAAAACGCACGACAGTCTTTCTTCTCTGACATCATTACCAAAAACAAAAACAACGCACGCGCCTTGTTTGCTACCGTCGACAGACTAACTAACCCCCCAGTGTCAGTAGCCTCTGAGCTTCTATCCACCAAGGCGTGCAATGATTTTGCCTTTTTCACTGACAACATGCAGAAAATCAGACAAGCAGTCAGTGCCTCTGCATCAGGTACAGCAAATGTGTTGTCCCTATGTCCACCTAATATCAATTCAAACACCATGACACAATTCCATCAGATTCATGATAAAAACCTAGAGGACATTATACAACTTCTGAAATCCTCCTCCTGCTACCTTGATATTATTCCAACAGGATTTTTCAAAGATGTTTTTCCTTGCATGGCCTCAAATCTACTTCATATAGTTAACAAATCTCTTCACTCAGGTATTTTTCCACAGGCCCTGAAAACTGCAGTCATTAAACCGCTCTTAAAAAAGAATAATCTAGATGCTTCAGTAATGAACAATTACAGGCCAATATCAAACCTCCCATTTCTAGGTAAAATCATTGAAAAAGTTGTTTTTCAACAGTAATTTCTTGCATTTAAATAACTGTTTCGATGTGTTCCAGTCAGGCTTTCATCCAAACCACAGCACTGAGACTGCTCTTGTTAAGGTCTTCATTGACATCCACTTAAACACAGACAGTGGCAGAACTTCAGTGTTAGTATTATTAGATCTCAGCGCTGCGTTTGACACTGTTGTTACTCAAAAAAAGTAATATATTACTTTACTTCGTTACTCTCTACATAAATCAACGCGTTACTTTACTCGTTACTTTACTCGTTACTCTACTCGCAGGGCCGCCCCTCCATACAGGCAGATCACGAAGACTGATGCGACGACGACGCTCTCGACACAGAGGGCCTCATCATATAACTTTGTTCTCTCTCTGTCTCGCTCCCTCACAGAGGCTGTGTGGTGAAGTGCACATGTAGCCACACACACACACACACACACACACACACACACACACACACACACACACACATCCCCACTGCAGTGGCATAGAGTATCTTTTTTTTGTATAGCTGAAATCTGTGTTTTGTCATGTTGCCAGGCTCTGGAGGCTGTGAACACTCAACTGAAGGAGCTTTACCCTGACAGCAAGGAGCTGTTTGATGTGGTGCTCATGACCAACAACCATCCATACGCTGGCCTAAGACTTATCAAGACCATCAATCATCACCGTGAGTTACAGGAGCAGAGCCGGCCCGACCCATTAAGCGACATAAGCGGCCGCTTAGGGCCCCGCAGCCACTAAGGGCCCCCTAGCAAAACAAATAAATAATAATAATCTCAGTACACCATCGCCGTGATAAGTATGTTTAATTAATTGTGTTAATATGCCTAGTATGCATGTATTATATTATTGAGTCAATAATGTAATACATTAACCGTGCTTTACCTGAACCTCATCATGACACTAGAAAGGACGGCAGGATTGTAATTTCCCGTGTTCAGTGAATGCAACAGAGGCAAGGCACCAGACCAACCAGAGAGTTGAATGGAAATAAACATCTGTAGTGCCGTGAAAAGAGAGTCGGAGGCGGTGTATTAAGAATGGAGTTCCAATCTTTATTATCCATTACTATCAGAGAGGTTAACACATGCACTGCTCTGCCTGATGAGCTAGCAGGAATGGCAGCTAAAGCTACAGGTGTTCCCCACTAAAGGGTCCGTGTGGCAACACAATAAGCAAGGTGAATTATGTCCAATAACGTGTCACCACACAAGCCCCCCCCCCCAGAATTCACACATAAACAAAATCAGTATGGCGGGGAGGAACGACACGCCGACCCCCACGACTCCTGAGCACGGGAGTCGGAAAAGTGACTTACGCCTGTGCGGCCCCCGGAAGGGGAGGGACCGGAACAACAGGTCTTAAATCCGTGACAGGGGACGAGGCCGGGGGGCGGCCCCGTCGCGGAGGTCGAGCCAGCACCACAGGCTGGTCCAAGTCCAGGTGAGCAGCCTTCACCCGGTCCACCGAGACGTGCTCGGCCTTGCCACCCAGGTCGACCACCAGGTGTTTGTCCCCGTGCTCCAAGACCCGGAAAGGCCCATCATAAGGGGGCTGCAGGGGGCCTCTGTGCGCATCGTGCCGGATGAACACGTGCTCCGCCGAGCGGAACTCTGCGGGAACCTGGGACACCTGAGTACCGTGCTGAGTAGTAGGGATCGGAGCAAAGGCCTCAGCGGCGTCCTGCAGGAAAGCCCGCTGGGCCGACGCCGACCAGGGAGCCGATGCGTTAGGGAGGAAATCCCCTGGAACTCTCAACGGCTGCCCGTAGACCATCTCAGCCGTAGAGCACTGCAGGTCTTCTTTAGGCGCAGTCCTCAGGCCCAGCATCACCCAGGGCAGCTTGTCGACCCAATTCCCGTCCTTAAGGCCGGCTTTGAGGGCCGCCTTCATGGAGCGATGGAAGCGCTCGCAGAGGCCGTTATCCTGAGGGTGGTAAGCGGTAGTCCTGTGTGTGAAGGTAAACTTCTGTTGTTGCAATGTTGAGGTAGAATGAAGGAGTCTGGAACCGTTGTTAGCCAAAAACACTGAGAGTTTTATTGGAGAAAGTACAGACAATACGGCCGGGAGATCATCTTAGTTTCACACATGTCCAGTGCTCCACCAGCGATCTCTGAACCAAAAGCCACAAAACATCTAACCAACACGAGGAGAGGCCGGCCCATAGAAAGCCCACGTTTACCTAATCAATAACCGATGGGAGACAATGATCTGCTTGTCTCAAAGAGATGCGGCCAGGTCTCAACCCCCCCACGGATATAGGAGAAGCGTTTGACCTGTGACCTCAACCTACAGAGGAGTCTTTGAGTGACTACAAGCAGATGTTTGCAGTATCACAGACTCTAAGGAATAATAAGAGACTCTATAAACTGATCAGATTAAAATATTCTCTTACTGTGCTGTCCCCGGTATATGTAGTGTATATATCTTAACAGCCAGATAAACTCCCTCCGTACACCAAGACTCTGAAGACGTGAATCCTTTGCCCACAGGTTTAATGATATAAGGAAGGTGTGAAACTAAAAATAAACAAGACAAAATATAATCAATTCTATGATCATTTCTACATACACAAATATGCACAATGTATATAAATCAACACAGCTTTAACATTAATTGAATTGCCTTGTTATATTTACTGTAAGCTTTTTAATGTATTTATTGTAATTCTAGAACTTAAACAGTTATAAATGGCATCATATTTTAAACATATAATCAACCATTTGTACATTTATTCATTTAACTCTCCTTGCATTAGCCTTGTACAATATTGAGACAACTCGGAAGATCTCCAGCATTAAACACCACATAATACAATATTTCCTAAAAATAATCATCTGCAATTGTTAATAACACAAACATAAACAATACTTACATACGATGCGATCAAAGGCATTAAGACGTATGCAGATGTAGCTGGATTTCTAACAAACAATAACACATTGCTCACAGAGCCATGCTTTGCCTATTTCCTGTCTAATGATCACCTGACACACCCATCTGATGATGTCATCCTGATTCTTAAAGGGACCACGACTAGGCACAATAGGCACACAAAGAATAGCCTAGAAGATGCAAACAAGAGTAAACTTAGCTGTAACAAAACACTCCCCGTCTGGCGTGGTTACACGTCACCTGAATCTAGAACACCTAAATTACCTAGACATTTGGGGAGAGAAGAAGCACTATCTCTGTAATAGGCCTAAGAAAGAGTGAAGTCCCTCCTGGTTTAATGACCTTCACCTCGACCTGACGCACCTTCCCGTCTTTGTTGGGAAAAGTCTGTGTTATCAGTCCAAGAGCCAGTTAGTGTATTTTAAGTGACCTGCAGCGACAGAACGTGTTGCATGATCTGCAGGGTTCTGATCTGTTGGCACATAGTACCATTGGTCTGGATTGGAAGATCTTCGGATACGTACTACCCGGTTACTGACATAGACGTAAAAACGTCTGGTTTCGTTACAAATGTAACCCAGAACTACCTTACTGTCTGAGTAATAGGTCACAGCATGAAGCTGAAGGTCTAGTTCTGCTAAGATTACATCTGCTAGCTCAACAGCAAGAACTGCTGCACACAGTTCTAGTCTTGGTACTGTGTGCTCGGGGCGGGGGGCCAGCTTAGCTTTCCCCATTACAAACCCAACATGATTTTTTCCAGCTGCGTCCGTGAGTTTCAGATATGCCACTGCAGCAATAGCTTTGGTTGATGCGTCACAGAAGACGCACAGTTCTCTTCTGACTGCTGCTGCAGACGATGTTTGGGTATAGGGTCTGGAGATGGAAAGATTAGACAGTCCTGACAAAGAATCTCTCCATGATATCCAGGCTTCCTCCTTTTCTTTAGGCAATGGCGTGTCCCAGTCACCATCCTCAACAGTGAGTTCTCTCATAATAGCCTTGCCTTGGATTGTCACTGGCGCTGCAAACCCAAGAGGATCATAGAGGCTATTCGTGGTGGATAGAACACCCCGCCGAGTGTAAGGTTTTATCTCATCTGAGACACTAAAGAGGAAGTAGTCTGTCTGGAGGTCCCAAATGATTCCCAGACTGCGTTGCATAGGCAGTGTATCTGCACCAAGATCAAGATCTTTAAGCTCATTTGTATGGTCTTTGGATGGAAATGCTTCCATGACCTCTTTATTGTTTGCTGCAATCTTATGCAGCCTCAGGTTTGATTTGGAGAGGACGTCCTGTGTCTTTTTTAACAAGTCGATGGCAGCTTCAACCGTCGGAAGAGATTTCAGACCGTCGTCTACGTAGAAGTCACGCATCACAAAATGCTTTACCTCGGCGTCGACATTGAGCTCTTTGACTTGAACAGACTGCTGAAGGCCATGAATAGCCACTGCAGGTGACGGGCTATTACCAAAGACGTGGACATTCATGCGAAAATCAACAATGTCTTTAGAGAGGTCGTTATCACGAAACCAAAGAAAACGTAGGAAATTCCTGTCTTCTCCCTTGACCAGAAAGCTATAGAACATCTGTTCTATGTCTGCTGTGAAAGCGATTGATTCCTTCCTGAAGCGGATAAGTACACCAAGAAGTGTGTTGTTTAGATCAGGCCCAGTCAACAGTACATCATTGAGTGATACACCGTTGTACTGGGCGCTGGAATCGAACACGACTCTGATTTTTTTGGGTTTCTTCGGGTGGTACACACCGAATGTTGGCAAGTACCATCTTTCTTCTTCTTCATCGAGAGGGGGGGCTAACTCAGCATGACCATTTTTAAACATCGTGTCCATGAAGCTGAGAAAGTGCTCTTTCATTTCAGGCTTCCTTTCAAAATTGCGGCTGAGGGACTTGAGACGTTTCAGTGCTTGAGGCCTGTTATTGGGGAGCCGTTGACGTGGACTTTTAAAGGGTAATGGCGCTACCCAACTGCCGTTTTCATCTTTATGTAACCCATTATCCATTATTTTCATGAAAGCGGCATCCTGAATGGAAGGAGTCACCTGATTGTCCTCTTTGGTCCGTTTGAACACAGTGCATCCAATGTGGTCGGCATCACAGGCGGTTCTATCCTCTGCATCCAGAGAAGGATGATTGGCAACTTGGGTGTCACTGTATTTTTCCCTAACATGAAACGCATTAGGGCATGGTTCAAAGAGAGTAGGACGCTGTAGGTCTGTGGTTTTCGTGTAGAAGGTGTTGATAGATGATGGTTTGTGAACGCTGCCTAAACAAACATTGCCTACGATGACCCACCCCAGATCTAAATTTTGAGCATAAGGCTGGTTGTGTGAGCCATTCATCTGTTTGCGAACCTTATGAACTCTGATAACGTCCCGACCCAGGAGAAGCATGATAGGGGCTTGTGGCTCAATGTCTGGGATGAGGTGCGCCACTGACTTGAGGTGTGCATGATTGAGAGCCACATCAGGGGTTGGGATCTCATTTCTGTTGTTAGGAATGTCATTGCATTCTATGAGGCTGGGTAATGGGATGTGGACAGTTCCATCCAGAGACTCAACTTCATAGCCGCTGGCTCTTCTTCCTGCTGATTCCTTCACTCCAGCACATGTTCTCAATGTGTAAGGAGCACTCGGACTTTGGTCACTGAACATTTCAAAGAACTGTGAACGAACTAATGATCTGTTGCTCTGTTCGTCCAAAATTGCATACAGTTTAATTGCTTTGTCTTTGTGGCCTGATGGATATACATTTACAAGACATATTTTGGAGCAGGATCTACCTGCCAGATCTCCGCCACAGACGTTTGTGCATTTGGTGGTGACATGAGGAGGAGGTGAAGTTTTATCCTCCTCCCCGCCATGCTCTGGAGCAGGGACCACCTCCTCCATCCAGGGTGCGGGTCCAGGGTGAAGTGCTGTATGGTGTCTTTCACTTTTGCATTCAAAACATTGAATTTTCATTTTACAGTTCTTCGCGAAATGTGATGATGAAGAACAGCATCTGAAGCACACATTATTCTCTTTTAGGAATGCCTTACGCTCATCAATGGGCTTTGCTCGGAATGTACGACATTTGCGGAGTGGATGTGGCTTTTCATGTATCGGACACATTTTATCAAAGTCCTCAGATCTCGTTGGGGGCTCACCGGTTTCAGTAACGACTCCGGGGAAGATCTCTGTTTTGTGGACAGAGACCTCCCGATATTTGTTTGGTTTCCAACCTGTCTTATCATTCTGTTTAGCTGTGTCTGTGTGGGAGGCAAAGTTGAAGCTTGGATCATTCCTCATGATAGCCTCCTGGCTGACAAAGTTCACGAAGAAGTCAAAGGGTGGATAGTGGACAAGATTTTGCCGCTTGTAGGATGCACCGACTGATGCCCACTTTTCCTGCAGACCGAATGGAAGCTTCTGAACTATTGGGTTGACGCCTCTGGCTGTGTCGAGGAAGGAGAGACCAGGCAAGTCTCCTTCTGCTTTGGCAGATTGAAGTTCCATTAATAGATCACTTAACTTTGTCAGTTTGGAATAATCTTGATTTGTTATTTTAGGAAAGGTGTCAATGCGTTTGAACAGAGCGTCTTCAATGACTTCTGGTGAGCCATATGTTCGCTCGAGTCTGTCCCATGTCATTGCTAATCCTGCTTCAGGGTGATTTATGTGTATTGCTCTTATCTGTTCGACATGTTGTCTTGCCTCGTTACCAAGCCACCTGTGCAGAAGATCCATCTCCTCACTTGGTGTCAGGTTTAAACCCCGGGTTGCGGTCTGGAAAGACCGTTTCCATGCTCTGTAATTCTGAGGTTTTTCATTGAATTGAAGCAAACCTGTAGCAACAAGCTCGTGCCGTGCAAAATATCTCACAAAGTCATTCAGGTTTGAGTCGTCGTGATTGTAATTTGGAGACATGGGATGGGGCGATGAGGAAGGATTACCACTCTGGTTTTGAGGTCTGTAATACTGTCCAGGAGTACAACGGTTGTTCTCAAACTTTACATTGCGTGAACCACGAGCACACTCGTCTCCGTTGATGCCAGGCTGCTGTGAGGTAATATGAGGTGATTGAGATCCAGGATTGGTTTGATGGAGAATGAAAGGTTTGGCTTCTGGTTTGAGCTGTGAATGTGAAATGCTGTCGCCAGGACTTGGCTTTGTAATTGCTGGTACATAATGATCACTTAGTTGAGGTTTAGCCTCCGTTATTTTGGCTTGGTCAGCAACATATTGCTGTGTGCGTAATGCTGCTTCCAATGATACAGAGCTTAAACAGTTTTTACTCCTTTCTTTCTCAATGTCTAAATCCTCAGCAGCTTCAAATACTTCTGCTTCAGCTATAGCCGCAGCTGTCTCTTTCTGTATGTTGAGCATTTCCATAGATGCTTCCAATTTAGCTTTATCCAGCCTTAGATTCATTTCCTCTTCGGCGTAGGAAAGACGTGCTTTAGCTGCTTCTGCTCTCGCTCGTGCCCTGACTGCAGCGGACCCAGTTGATGATGCTCTTGATCGTAGTTGGGAGCCTGAAACACGGGAGCGCGTGTTTAGCGAAGAAGCCTTTTCTGTCATGGCACCGTCTGATAGTGTACCTCTCTTTAGACACTGTTTTGACGGTCATCCAGTGGCTGTATGTGAAGATGCTGTCATTGTCTGCCAGCTTACACTGCGTTGTCCTGCCCGCTAGAATGCCGTATTTTCACTGTGCTGTCCCCGGTATATGTAGTGTATATATCTTAACAGCCAGATAAACTCCCTCCGTACACCAAGACTCTGAAGACGTGAATCCTTTGCCCACAGGTTTAATGATATAAGGAAGGTGTGAAACTAAAAATAAACAAGACAAAATATAATCAATTCTATGATCATTTCTACATACACAAATATGCACAATGTATATAAATCAACACAGCTTTAACATTAATTGAATTGCCTTGTTATATTTACTGTAAGCTTTTTAATGTATTTATTGTAATTCGAGAACTTAAACAGTTATAAATGGCATCATATTTTAAACATATAATCAACCATTTGTACATTTATTCATTTAACTCTCCTTGCATTAGCCTTGTACAATATTGAGACAACTCGGAAGATCTCCAGCATTAAACACCACATAATACAATATTTCCTAAAAATAATCATCTGCAATTGTTAATAACACAAACATAAACAATACTTACATACGATGCGATCAAAGGCATTAAGACGTATGCAGATGTAGCTGGATTTCTAACAAACAATAACACATTGCTCACAGAGCCATGCTTTGCCTATTTCCTGTCTAATGATCACCTGACACACCCATCTGATGATGTCATCCTGATTCTTAAAGGGACCACGACTAGGCACAATAGGCACACAAAGAATAGCCTAGAAGATGCAAACAAGAGTAAACTTAGCTGTAACAAAACACTTACACTGTGCAGCTTAACCCCCAAACCGCCTGCCACGGCGTTCCAGAGTTCGGACGTGAACTGAGAGCCCCTGTCTGAGGAAATGTCCGACGGGGTGCCAAAACGACACACCCACGTTGCAATGAAGGCCCGGGCAACGTCCGCGGCCGACGTCGAAACGAGCGGGACCGCCTCCGGCCAACGGGTCGTCCTGTCCACCATGGTGAGGAGGTAGGAAAAGCCCTGAGAGGAGGGCAATGGACCAACCAGGTCGATGTTGACGTGGTCAAACCTCCTCTCAGGCACCAGGAAACGCTCCAAAGGGGCCTTCGTGTGGCGGTGCATCTTAGCGCGCTGACAAGCCACGCACTCACCAGCCCAAGTCCTCACGTCCTTTTTCAGCCCATGCCAGACAAACTTCGCGGCCACCAAGCGCACCGAAGGCTTAACGCCGGGGTGTGACAGTCCGTGCACTGACTCGAACACAGAGCGCCTCCAGCTGGCGGGAACGACTGGCCGCGACAGGCCCGTGGAAACATCACACAGGAGGGTAATGCCCGCGTCGCCGAACACCACGTCCTCCAAGCGCAGCCCCGCGCCCTCCACCTTCAGAGCCTGGACGCCGGGGTCTGTGACCTGGTCCGCCGCCATGCGAGTATAGTCCAGGCCCAACTGGACGGCTCCGATGACGACTCTGGAGAGGCAATCTGCAACCAGGTTCGACTTGCCAGCCACGTGCTTAATGTCTGTGGTGAACTCAGAGATGTATGAAAGCTGCCGCTGCTGACGTGCCGACTAAGGCTCCGCCACTTTAGACATGGCGAAAGTGAGTAGCTTGTGGTCGACAAACGCCGTAAACTCCCGGCCTTCCAGCATGAAACGGAAGTGCCGGACGGCCAAATAAAGACCCAGGAGCTCACGGTCAAAAGCGCTGTACCTGCGTTCTCTGGGCGTCAGCTGGCGGCTGAAAAAGGCGAGCGGCTGCCAAGCGCCCTCCACCCACTGCTCGTGCACCGAGCCGACCGCGTAGTCCGACGCGTCCGTGGTGATGGAGATGGTAGCCATAGATGATGGGTGTGCCAGCAAAGCCGCCTGAGCCAACGCGGTCTTGACCTCAGCAAAAGCGACGTCCGCCTCTGCCGTCCAGTCGATCGCCTGGACGGGGGTCTTGCCCTTCAATGCTTCATACAGCGGCCACATGATGTGTGCGGCCCGGGCGATGAAACGGTGGTAGAAGGTTACCATCCCCAGAAACTCAGGGAGCGACCGGGCTGTGAGCGGGCGAGGAAAAGCCGCAACAGCCTCCAACTTCGCCGGCAGAGGTGCCGCACCGCCCTTGGTGACGCGGTGCCCCAGAAAATCAATGTCAGACACCCCGAACTGGCACTTTGCAGGATTGATGATTAATCCGTGTTCGTTGAGCCGCGTGAAAAGGGCTCGGAGGTGGAACAGGTGCTCCTGCACTGAAGCGCTGGCGACGAGTATGTTGTCGAGGTAGACAAACACAAACGGCAGGTCCCGCAGCACCAAGTCCATCAGGCGCTGGAACGTCTGAGCAGCATTCTTGAGTCCAAAAGGCATCCGCAGGAACTCAAAAAGTCCAAAAGGCATTATCACTGCTGTCTTGGGAATGTCCAGAGGGTGCATGGGCACCTGGTGGTATCCACGCACCAGGTCCACCTTGGAAAACACCCCCGTACCGGCCAGATGCGCCGAAAAGTCCTGAATGTGCGGCACCGGATAGTGGTCAGGCGTAGTGGCGTCGTTGAGTCGGCGGTAATCCCCGCACGGGCAGAACCCGCCGTTCGGTTTGGGGACGACGTGCAGGGGGGAAGCCCAAGGACTGTCAGAGCGGCGGACAATGCCCAGGCACTCCATGGTTGCGAACTCCACCCTCGCTACAGCCAGCTTAGAAGGGTTCAACCGCCAGGCCCTGGCGTAGACAGGAGGCCCCTCGGTAGTGACGTGGTGCTCCACGCCATGCTTAGTGGTAAGCAGAGAAGGTGGGCAGCGACAGGTCTGGAAACTCGGCCAACAGTCTGAGAAACGTGTCTGCCCCCGACAGCGAGCCCATGCTGCGCTGCCAAGTGTGCACACGAGGGAAGAAAACGTTAAGGCATCAACCAAACGCCTATTCTTAACGTCCATGAGCACACAAAAAATCCGCTCCGAGGAGGGGAAAAGAAATGTCCGCTGTCACAAAATCCCAGCTGAAACGCTGTCCTCCGATGCACAAACACATAGACCTCACGCCGTACGTGCGAATAGGACTACCATTAGCCGTCGTCAATCGCGGTCCGTGCCCACCCCGGGTGAGGTCTTCACTCGACCTTGGAACTACGCTCCGTTGAGAAACACAGGCTCCCCGAAACGCTGTCGCTGACGAAGAGGAGCCTGCACGTGCCGCCGACGCTCAGGGCCACTACTGAGCGCCGGCCCCTCCGTTTCCCGGGGGTTTGTAGCTGCACGGGGCGATGCATTTCTTCGCCATTGTCCCGAAACGTGCGTGGTAAAAGCACTCTCCGGTGTCTCCACGCCGGCTCGATACAGCCGTGTCCTGCCTCCGCCACGCTTTCTTGACTGCAGATGGGCCGCTGAGCGTCGCGGCTAACGTCTCTGCACCGGGCTGTTGTGTAGCCAGGAAAAAACTATTTGCTTCCTCAGCCAAGGGACGGGGGTCCGTGACAGGCGTGTTGGCCAGCGCTGTCTGGACCCGGGGAGGCAAGTGACGCAGGAAAATCTCCGTGAATAATATCCGATGATCTTCCCCCCCTAGCAGATTTAGCATTTTCTCCATTAGCTGGGAAGGCTTGCTGTCTCCTAGGCCTTGAATGTCAAGTATCTGGCGGGCCCTCTCCTTAGCAGATAAGCTAAATGTCTTAAGGAGAAGGGCCTTAATCGCCTCATATTTGCCATGGTGTGGGGGGTCTGTGATAAATCCCACCAACCTGGACGACGTGGAGCTCCCCAGCGCTGCTACCACATGGTAGTATTTCAGGTCCCCATCACGGACCTGTCGGCAGGCGAAATGTGCCTCCACGTGTGCGAACCATGCCTCCGCGGCGTGCTCCCAGAATTCCGGCAGCTTTATGAAAACATCGCGCTCAGCCATGTTCGTTAATTTTCCGGAAACTTTCTCGGAAAAGTCAGGGTCACCAGTGTAGTGCCGTGAAAAGAGAGTCGGAGGCGGTGTATTAAGAATGGAGTTCCAATCTTTATTATCCATTAATATCAGAGAGGTTAACACATGCACTGCTCTGCCTGATGAGCTAGCAGGAATGGCAGCTAAAGCTACAGGTGTTCCCCACTAAAGGGTCCGTGTGGCAACACAATAAGCAAGGTGAATTATGTCCAATAACGTGTCACCACACATCCGTCTTATTGGCTCACAGGTACCTATCCTGTGAGCTGTGACAATGTTTAAAATAAACTGTCAGTCGGACTCAGAGTTTTTGAAGATGGACATAAGCAAACATTTTCTTAAAAAATACGACAATTCTCAAGTGGTGGCTCACACAACAACCCAGAATCACCACTTGAGCCAGGTGAACAAGGTATGTAAATGTCAGTAAACTTCCAAGTTATGCGAACATGTAAGCAACGCATAAATTACAAGCTAAACCGTTAGCAAGTAGCTATAGCTAGCCAGATATATTAACTAAACACTTTGTCATACAATCTAAATGTAATGTTTTTTAGCGTTACCTGGTGATTTCAAAGAAAGCTCTGGGAAATGTTGACTTACTGTTCGACATGAAGCTACCTTACAGTACACAGTTGATCCTGAGTCCTGTCAGTTAAAGTGTTTCATAGTTAGCTTAGCTAAGCATCAACCTAGCACTGAAATATATGGATGTTATGTGACAATATTTCTGAGAAAAAGTCAGCTGAAATGGTGGCATAGTTGCCACTGCTTTACGTGTCGACAGCATGTTTGAACGTATTTGCAGCAGTAAATAAATGTGGCTGTTTGGCCACTGACGTTGCCATAACAACACCTGCATTTAAATGTGCAACCTCTTTTTGTGACAGATTTTTGCATGAAATTATAATTCTTCAGAATGATATTCCTAATGACAGCTGTGTCAATTGTGAACATTATGAGATGGACAGCCAGAGAGAATACATGAAAAACAGTTATGAAATACTATATGACAAAACAAGAATACCGTTTAAAAGGGGAGTGATTTGTAAAATATCCATAAAGAAAAATCTGTTTACAGTTCTGTTTCATATGGGTGTTGAGAGATGTATCCATAGATCTCTTAATTTTGCTCTCAAAGTGCACCAGATTGATGCTTTTAACTTAAATATTATACAATAAATCTTCCCGGGGGAGCCTGCCCCCGGACCCCCCTAGAGGAGGTTCGGTCCACGGTGTTTGCATGCTTATTTATACAATATGTGTGCTTATGCTAACATCATAAGACAAAAGTTGGTTCCGTGTTGTAGTGAGAACGCGCTAGAGTGAGGGGGGCGCCAAAGATCGCTTAGGACCCCCAAAAGTCTAGGGCCGGCCCTGAACATGAGTGATAAAGGCTTGTGACACACCCTTTTGTCTTGTGTATATTCTCATCCAGCATCACTGGTTCCTTTTCTGAGTGACTATTTTCAAGCCATCACTTTAGCCATCAGATTGTTGATACAGTTCAGTTGGTCTTTTTGTTCATTCTCGATATAGTTTTGAATCAGTAGTGTAATCTAGATCTGTAAGACAGAACTAGTGTTAGCATGCTGTATTGTAACTGCAACTACGCAAATCAAAATATATTATGCATGCTTGGCATTACCATCCAACATAAAAACCTTAAAGTAAAAACCTTTAGTTTTCATTGTGTAAATGACTGAAAAAGCAAAAGATCAGATGTGGCTGGACTCTAGCAATGGGCCGACGCCGTGTGCGCCTAGCTGCTCTGCCAGCCACCACCGGCATTCAGTATTTAATGTTGAAAGTGATCAGCTATGAATGTAAAAATATGAGGTTATATATGCACCAATTCATTTTATTCTTGCATATCTTGAATGTAATGCACATCAACTGATCTTTGATTCCTCTTCTCCACAGAGTTGTTCATCGAGCGCTACTGTATGACGGGAGGGAACAGTCCCATAGGCTACTTGAAGGCCTTCCACACTAACCTGTACCTGTCTTCTGATCCAGACAAGGTTCGAGAAGCTCTGAAAGAAGGTACATATGACTGAGAAGCTGGCTAGCACTGTCCAGAGTTGTAAGCACCTGTCAATATTCATAATGCTTTATAAAATAATCACAGCAGTAGGGTTCAATGTACATTAGCAATTGGTTATTGTTACCTTTGCGCCATGATGTCACAGGGTTAAACAACCGCGACCCAGTAAAGTGTGAAAGTAAACTAAAACAAAACAGTGCTATATAATCAGATATTTTGCATCATAAGTATGATTATATTGTATGTGCATCATAGAAAGTGTTCCAAGAAGCTATATGACTGCACTACAGAGGCCAAAGAGAGTATCTCTGCTATATGGTATGTAACATGTATTTATACACACTTGTTTCTGATAACACACTCAGGTATAGCAGCAGCTATCATGCTCACCCCAGAGAAGATAACAGAAGTGTCGAACACCCAGCTGCGAGTCGCCTTCGATGGTGACGCCGTCCTCTTCTCTGATGAGTCTGAGCGCATTTACAAGTCACATAAACTGAAGAAGTTCTTAGAGTATGAGAAGGAACACGAGAACAAGCCTCTGGGACATGTAAAGTATACACAAAAGAGACAATTATCAGTATCACACCACTATTGTAAATGTACTGTACTACATTCAATGAAATGACTGGTTTACTACAACTTAGGTATTAGTGAGTACTTTTGACGGTCATTTCTATTACCTCATAGTCTACAAATAAAAGTAATTTCTAGGATTGGGAATCATAGTGACATCTCTACAATAAAAATGTGTATTTGGTCTGTAAACTAGTTTTATAATTGTACCATTTGCCCTTTCACTGCTATTTGGCTCATCTGAGGGTTTGTCTTTATCCTAAATGCTTACTGCTTACCATATTTGAGTGCTGTTGTGATATCACTTTATACCAGGTCTCAGGAACTAACCTGTTAATTACAAAATACATGATAAACTACAGTATGAAATATGATCGAAGACCCAAGTTATCATAGAAATGCTGGTAAACTCTCTCTTTGGCACAGATTATTCCAATCAGGCAGATTCTATCTTGAGTTGGCCCTTAATAATATAAAAACTATCAAAAGGGAGACTTTGGATTTACTCTATTCCTTCTTCTTTGTGCAGGGACCCCTGAAAGGTTTCCTGGAGGCTTTAGAAAAGCTGCAGAAGAAGTTTTATGACAAAGGTCAGCGCAAGGACTGCCCCATCCGGACTTACTTGGTGACCTCTCGCGGGGCACCCAGCCCTGCTGCCAGGGCTCTGAAAACTCTGTACTCGTGGGGTCTGGAGATCGATGAGGCTCACTTTCTGTCAGGGGCACCCAAGGGCCCCGTGCTTGAGAAGATCAGGCCGCACATTTTCTTTGATGACCAGATGTTTCATGTGGAGGGGGCATTGAAAATCGGGACAGTAGCATGCCACGTGCCCTGTGGGATATCTCAGGAACCAGCACCAAAGTAGCCTGAACTTCACTGGGTTACAACTGTATCTTTACCTGTTATTTTATCAGTGGTGAACCGTCAGGGCCTTCAAGGTATTAAGAGAATACCCTCAAATACTCAGATAAAACAAACAAAAAATCGGTTTAATTATATAAATAACCCTTTCTGTTACATTGGTATGCATAGCTGTGATTTATGACCCCCCAATAAACCTTTGATGTCTGGTGTACTGACAGGTGTCTAATATTTTTATGACGTGTCTTGACAGGTGGTATGTTTTATGACATGTTGTTTTATGGTGTCTGATATTTATGAGGTGTTGTTTTATGGTATATTAAAACGTTGATGTTGATCCTTTGATGAGTGTCTGATCACCTGTTGTTCAATTGTCCTCTCTAAAGATGAGTTGAATATGATGTATGATAATTAAGGGTATTCTTTTAAGTTGTATGGCGTGGGAACTAATATTTAATTACTTTAACTATAAGGAAGCTTAAACAAAGAAAATATATTTCCCCATATATTAGCTGTCAATATATTACATTATTTAGTGTTCTGATTTACTAGTTAATTGAAAAGATTTAATAAAGTAAATCTTGCTGTTTGCTTCATCAACTGATACTGATTAATAATCAACAGGAAAAAAAAATATATTCATATCTACAAAATATATTGAAGATATATAGAATAATATACTGTGTTAATATATTACAATATATGGAATAATATATCAGTAATTGCCGCTTTTCATATATTGAGTAATCTGCAGGTCACCCTTGAAAAAGAGATCTTTTGATCTCAAGGGGCTTCACCTGGTTAAATAAAGGCTACAATATGTAAATATATACAATATATTGGTTGTGTATGGATGTGAATATACATTTACTATATATTAACATTTATATGGGGACATGTATGTACTATATATTCAGATTTATATGTGGACATGTATGTACTATATATTCAGATTTGTATGGGGACATGTATGTACTATATATTCACAATTATATGGGGACATGTATGTACTATATATTCACAATTATATGGGGACATGTATGTACTATATATTCACAATTATATGGGGACATGTATGTACTATATATTCACAATTATATGGGGACATGTATGTACTATATATTCACAATTATATGGGGACATGTATGTACTATATATTCACAATTATATGGGGACATGTATGTACTATATATTCAGATTTATATGTGGACATGTATGTACTATATATTCAGATTTGTATGGGGACATGTATGTACTATATATTCAGATTTGTATGGGGACATGTATGTACTATATATTCACAATTATATGGGGACATGTATGCACTATATATTCAGATTTATAAAAAACCATGTACGTACCATATATTCCGAACATGAGTGCAAGATATGTTCACAATTATGAGGAGAAATGCATGTTCTGATTAAAAAATATCTTGAATTCGTTTTTTTCTATCAATGTGTAGAAAGGAAAGAATAAAAGAAAAGGCCTATTACATTATGTAATGACTCAAGACAATTTTCACGTAATTATGTAATAAAACCCACATTTTGTAATAATCTGCTGCATTCTGTAATCAACAGCCTGAACGCAATATAAAATATGATATACATGTTGGCTAATGAATATGGTAACACTTGATCTAGTTTTGGCCAATGAAAGATATTCTACTGAAATATTTTTTAATTAATTATGAGTAAGGATGATTCATGGTTGAATAAATAAATAAACAGTTGTAATGTTATTGTTTTCAACTCATTTTGTAATAACCACTGCACTATGTAATAATATATTTCAAAATGTGGCGACATTACATATTTGCATTGAACTTGTTTACTACATAATGGGCAAATTATTACAAAAGGAGGTGTTATTACATAATGAAGGGAAAATGTATTACATTTTGTATAGGTATAGTTAATAAATGATGCATTGTTATTTCATACAGGGCCAAAAAGAGCAGTCTGTTATCCTATTTAACAATCTTGTTTTTTGTTTCACCTGGTACTTTAAACATGAGCTGATCACTCATTAAAACAAGGTTCGGAACAGGGCCAAAAAAACAGTCTTGTACCCTATTTAATCGTTCATCTTGTTTTTTCGCTTCACCTGGTTCCTTAACTCACAAATTCTTGTGTTAATGGATTTTCTTATATCTGATATCTTGGTCCCTGGATGGTGGTTTACTACAGCATCTGTGGAACAGAACAATTCACAAAAGACAGCAGGAATTATAACAATATCCATAATATCTATTCAAGCGTGGGCTGGCTTGGTGAATAATGTGGGAATGCAAATAGTGGAAGAATAGGCTTTGTACATTTTCGTCTGAGTGTGGTGCTACTGGTTGGTATATTTTATGGAATTTGGACCAAGCATCTGCATCTGTAACAGTTCTGTTTAAAACTTTTTTAAATATAATTGCATTCATCTTTAAAAGACTACTTTTATTGAATGAGAGTTTTACCTAGCACAATGAGCCTGGGGTAGTGGGAAGGGAGAACTGGGCCACGGCATCGGCAGGAGTTGTAGTCGCCTATGAGTATTCGAATTTAGATGAACAAAGGCATAGAAAAACCCTCAAATATGTACTGACACAAAGCTACAACCCTCGATTGTGTAAGTAGTAGTAGAAAATATATACACGGAACAAAAATATAAATGCAACACTTTTGTTTTTGCTCCCATTTTTCATGAGATGAACTCAAAGATCTAAAACATTTTCTATTTACACAAAATAACCATTTCTCTCAAATATTGTTCACAAATTTGAAAAATCTGTGATAGTGAGCACTTCTCCTTTGCCGAGATAATCCATCCCACCTCACAGGTGTGGCATATCAAGATGCTGATTAGACAGCATGATTATTGCACAGGTGTGCCTTAGAATGGCCACAATAAAAGGCCACTCTGAAACGTGCAGTTTTGCTTTATTGGGGGGGGTCCGAAAACCAGTCAGTATCTGGGGTGACCACCATTTGCCTCACGCAATGCAACACATCTCCTTCGCATAGAGTTGATCAGGTTGTTGATTGTGGCCTGTGGAATGTTGGTCCACTCTTCTTCAATGGCTGTGCGAAGTTGCTGGATGCAGTGGCTCCGCCCCAAAGTGTGAGAAACTTTTCACGCGCGCGCAGACAGACTCCGCGAGCAAGTGAGGCTTATATGGAACGCCCTTTGCGCCACAATTTGCGCGTTTATTCGCGCGGATTAACGGGGAGGTCCGTTTATTCGCGCGAAACTACGCGCGAATAAACGGGGAGGTCCGTTTAAGTTAAAAGTCTCAGTAACGAATCAGTGAAGAGCAAAACCAGACCAAAGCAATCTGTAGATGAAAAGTTCCTGACATTGTGAGGCCGTATATTGTACATTATTCCAGATTCAGGGGACTATGTATTAATTTGGCTTTCAATATAATACATATATCAATCAATATATCCTGCCTTCATTGTCTTTTAAAATAAAATCGCCTTACCTTATCTTACTGAAGTGAAGGGTATTGATGTCTCCTTAAATCACCTTTTAAATGTACTTCTTATAACATGGCATGGTGTAACATATCAAAATGTTCAGTCTCTGGTCTTGCTAGAAATGCAATGTCACTCACCTTAGAGCACTGTCAGATTTTTGGAAAACTTAAAAACTCTTGTGAAAACACAGATGTACTCATGTCATCCATTTTTTTTGGTGTTTCAGATTTGGTTTACCAACGTTTTTGGTTCACAAAAGTAGTGAAATATATGAATTACACTATAGGCCTATATAAATGTGTTGTTCATGTCTAAAATGAAAATGTGTAAATTAGAATTTGGAGTAAAATAGTTCTATCACTATACTTTCACCACAGAAAAGTTACATCAGGACTGATTCATGACTTCATATCCCATACTGAGGTTCATGTGATGTGTACAAATACAAATTGAGCATTACAACTTTTTTTTTCAACCAACTATTTATGTTAACATAAGAAACTGTAAAATCTCAATATTTACAATACAGGGTTCATACACTTTTTCACCAATGATTTTAAATGACTTTCATGTGGCTAGCATGCGCTGCCTCGCCCATATTCGAAATATTGAATATGTTACAACACAGTTTGCATTTAGCACGTCTTGGGTCAATGTCTTTTGATAACCACAATTGGTACTTATTCTTTAGAAGCCATACATTGTTGAAACTGCACTTCCCTGGCATCTTTATATCAAATAGTAGCTCCTGTAGACTAGAGGGCGTGATTGTAAACATCTCTCACCAGCTAAATACTGCCAGTTGCCATTTTACGTTTCACTATACGATACAGTATTTATTATCATTATAGTATTACTATTTCGGCAATTAGATAACATATAAATTATATTTGATGCAACTTTAGTTATATTTCCATGACTTTTCCAAAACTTTGGGAAACATATTGCATTCCATGTAGGGCTGCACGGTATTGAAAAAAACGGACATCGCGATTTTTTCCCCCCCCTGCGGTATATATTGCGTTTTTTTTAACCTGTTAAACCCCAAAGTCCCGGCGGGTACTTTACTTTTTTTTTTCACGACAGTGTCTCAGGGGATCGTAATATTTAAGAACCTATTAATATGTTATACCAGATTAACGGAAATAATCTCAGCTAACTGACGATACAAACCATTTTTACCAAAACAAAACACAAGTCTCATAAGAAGCATCTAAATGACCCCTGAGCGAAAAATGCTAACGCACTTTGGCACAGAACTCAAGATAAAAGTACCCTTATTACTTATCATAGCTGCACTTACAAGATATCCGATTAAAGCTGAGGTTCCACAGATTATTTAGGTATATAGTATCATCACTGAGTGATCTGAACTCGGACAGGGGAACAGACATCACAACACGTACCTTTACGTAGCTTCTAGGGGAGATGTCTCACCGTAGCTGTCAATCTGATCAAAAGACGTGTTCAATGGCATTAAAACGAGAAAGAAAAAACGCGGCTGAATCGGTTAATCCATAGGTTTTTAACGTGTCTGTATAAAAAAACGATTTAATTCATAATCCATAATTTCATTTGTATGTAAATATCGCAGAGCAAAAGTTATCTACTAATGGTAGCCACCATAGTGGCTGCTGCTTCCGGTCTTGGTTATGCGGAAGTCTCACACACACACATTACCAAATAAGGACTGTGTGATTTCCCCTCGATTCCATTGGCTCTGACGGTCAGAAAGACATTTCACATGTCAAAATCCAGCAAGGTGGGCCACAGATATGGAAAATCCACCCAAATGGCCTCAAAAGAGGTTTTTTTGTGTGCTAAATCTGTCTAAAAAGGTCAAATATCACTTGTTTTGCATCAATCTTGATACAGAATGATTGTGATTGGTGGTTTGCTGTGCATGCAGGGGAAGTTCTACACACACCAACAAATAAGGAGTGAGAGTGACGCGTAGCCAAAACCGGAAGCTGGCTACCATTAGCAGCTAACTTATGTGCTCCGATTTTTACATAAAAATGGAATTATGGATTATAAACAATTGCTTCAAAGCCACAGATACATTATCAACCTATTGATCAGCCGCGTTTTTTCTTTCTCGTTTTAATGCCATTGAACACGTCTTTTGATCAGATTGACAGCTACGGTGAGACGATCTCCCGTAAAAGGTACGTGTTGTGATGTCTGTGTTTGCTTCCCCTGTTACGAGATCGGATCGCTTAGATACTATACTTAAATAATCTGTGGAGTCTCAGCTTTAATCGGATATATTGTATGTGCAGTTTCGATAAGTATTAAGGGTATCTTTATTTTGAATTCTGTGCTAAAGTGCGTTAGCATTTTTTTTAAAAATGAATAAAACCGCACATCCCTGCGGTGTGAATACCGCGCATGCGCATACCGCGGTTATCGCCATGACACGGTATATCGTTCAGCCCTAATTCCATGACTTTTCCAGGTTTTTAATGACTGTACGAACCCTGACAATATCAGAACTTTCTCAACCAACTATTCATTATAAATGTAAAGACAGGGGGAGCAGTGCCATGGTCTTTGTCTGTCTTCCAAGACAGTGGGTCTGGCTGCTGTGTAGGTGGGGGTGATGGTGCATGG